GGAACAATGGTGTCAGATTCCCAGTGTGGGATGTGTGTGGGTAATAAAGAAAGGAACACAGTCCCCAACCTGACACACACACACAAAGCCCCAACTCTGCTCGAAAGCAGAAAAAATGTGATCTCAATCTGGTAAAGCGATATATGAAAAGCTGAAGAGCATCTGCTTCAATCAATCATCTGATTATTTGTATTGTTGTGTGACAAAAGAAAACAATGGGGGAAAAAAAAGTTTTTACATCGTCAACTCTTTATGGGACAACTTTTCATAAAGATGCTGTAATATCAAATCAAAGTTAGAGACAGTCTCCCTTCTCGTGGCCCAGCAGATCCGGTTCTGACTGGTGTTGGTTGTGTCATTATGTTGAAAGTAGGGCAGGGAGGAACAAGTGTGTGCAGGCTGCTGTGTGGCCCTCCTCCTCCTCCTCCTCTTTCTCCTGTCCGTCTTTTTGTGCGGATGGGGTTAGAGTGGAGGGCTTGGCGGGACGGAGACACAGGGGGACAGAGAACTATTGTAACTGCAGGTCAGGCAGTTAAGCCCTTCCTCCCTGATTGATGAGGAACAGAGGAGGAGGGAGTGGAGCAGAGGATCAGAGGGGGGTTTAATTGTTACTCGGCAGTGTGTGAAATGGGTCTGGCCTTCTGTCCCCATTAACAGCCCTGGGTAAGGTTACCTCTCGCTGCTTGGGGGGCGATGTGCACATGTGTGAATAGGTTGGGTAGATTTCCCCCCCCCCCCCCTTTTCACGGCAGCTCCACCCCCCTCCAATCCACTCCTTACACCTATTCAACAGGCTCCCTTTCAATCAGTGATAGAGAAGCAAAAGGGCCTCCAGGGACCGCCATGCTAGGCACACACTGGAGCTGCTAGAAAGTTGCGGCAGTCTTTACTGCTGGCTCACTCTATTATCACAAAAACCCCACGGAGCAAGTCGGCTAGCAGCATTCAACAGGTCAAAGAGAACCACATTAAAGCGTACACTCCATCAGATTGGCCGACGATGTTTGTCAGTTCGACTTTCACTAAAACATTCGTTGCTAACACGTGCTAAATCCAAAACGTATTGTCTTCCAGGAGTAATGTGCAACATCAACATCGACGAGTGTGCCATTAACCCATGTCACAATGGGGGTACGTGTGTTGATGGCATCAACAGCTTCACCTGTCTGTGCCCCGAGGGCTACAACGACGCCACGTGTCTGTCCCAGGTGGACGAGTGCAGTAGTAACCCCTGCATCCATGGACGATGCCAGGATCTCATCAATGGGTAGGCACTCTGAGAACAATGGCCAAATGGCCTCCTAATGAAGCTTGAAGAAGAAAACAACAACCAAACATTAAATATATACCTTATTATTTGATTCAAAGCTACAAATGTACCTGTGACTCTGGATGGAGCGGCAAAAACTGTGACATCAACAACAACGAATGTGAATCGAACCCATGCATGAACGGCGGAACCTGCAAAGACATGACCAGTGGATACCACTGCACATGCAGGACTGGATTTACCGGTCAGTTGCAATTTGACATCACATTGATTTTATTTTTAAGGTTTGCTCACAGAGAGTGTTGTTGTGCGGACAATTTCTAACCCTGGTGTGGTGTCTGATCTCACCCATGTAGGGCCTAACTGCCAGACTAACATCAACGAGTGTGCCTCCAACCCTTGCCTGAACCAGGGCACCTGCATCGATGATGTGGCTGGATACAAATGCGTCTGTATGCTGCCCTACACCGGTATGACGTGTGTCTGCTTTTCCCTTTAAACACACAAAGTCCTGCATTATCTTGTGTTCACAACACACAGTCCTGTGTGTGTTGGTGGAGCTCATAGGAGCCGGAGTCCTGGATCCAGCAATTGGCTTTGTTCCAGTTGTTCTGTTTCCTGTCTGTGGTCACACAATGGCAGGAAACAGGAAATGGATAAGGAAGCGGGGTTTAGGAAAGGCATCATTTACAGAGGATTAGCAACCACTTTAGATTTGGTTTGGTATTTCGTGTCTTTAGGTTCTATCTGCTCTCTGCTTCCAGGTGATAACTGTGAGACCCTGCTGGCGCCCTGCAGCCCAAGACCCTGTAAAAACGGCGGTGTATGTAGGGAGTCTGAAGACTACCAGAGCTTCTCCTGCATCTGCCCTGATGGATGGCAAGGTATGATTATAGAGTCCCTTATTTTATTTTTATTTTATATATTTATGATATATATTTTATACCTATCATGGGTATATACTTCTACTGATTTTCCTTCTTTTTTTAAGGTCAAACATGTGAGTTTGACATCAACGAATGTGTGAAGAGCCCATGCCGCAATGGTGGGATTTGCCATAACACTATGGGTGGCTACCAATGTAAATGCCAGCCGGGTTACACTGGCCAGAAGTGTGAGACTGACGTCGACGACTGCAAACCAAGTATGAGCTGAATCACTGAGCTTCAAGTACACACGTCAGCTCAAATCTGGATCCAAGAAATAAACAAACCTTTGTCTCCCCCTAACTGTCTTCCAGATCCCTGCAGTAATGGTGGTCTTTGTCACGATGGCATTAACAGTTTCACCTGCACCTGCCTGCCTGGCTTTCGTGGTGGCAGATGTGAGCAGGACATTAATGAGTGTGAGAGCAACCCCTGTAGAAATGGAGCCAACTGCACAGATTGTGTCAACAGCTACACCTGCACCTGTCCACCTGGCTTCAGTGGTATCAACTGTGAGATCAACACCAATGACTGCACTGACAGGTACTCACCTAGTCACAGTACTGCCCTGTGTCCCTGTGTTTGTCATTTTTGTGAGGATAATTCTTTACAGAGAAGTCATGTTTACCTTGTTATTTGTTTCTGTTTTTCTGCAGCTCCTGCTTTAATGGTGGAACGTGTGTGGATGGAATCAACGCTTTCACCTGTCTGTGTCTCCATGGGTTCACTGGCAGCTACTGCCAGTATGATATCAACGAGTGTGACTCCAAGCCCTGTCTCAATGGAGGAACTTGTTATGACGGGTATGGGACGTATAAATGTACCTGTCCTCATGGCTACACAGGAATCAACTGTCAGGTAGGAAAAAAATGTCTCTGTCTGTTGTTGATCGATTTATCATAAATGCCATTCATTTATGAGCTGTACTGCAGAAATATAATTAAACCTAATATTTTTATATTGTTCCAGAATCTTGTACGCTGGTGTGACTCTTCCCCGTGTAAAAATGGTGGCTCATGCTGGCAGCAGGGAGCCTCTTACACTTGCCAATGCCAGACTGGATGGACCGGCCTCTACTGTGACATCCCCAGTGTGTCCTGCGAGGTAGCAGCCAAACAGCAAGGTATGTTAAAAAGGCCACTTGACTTTCATGGTTAATTTAACTTTCCTCCATGTGTTGAGACATTGTTTCTAGTACTTTGACACGTACATTCTTTAAATTTTGTTGTTGTATTTTTTTTTAGGTGTAGACGTTGCCAATTTGTGCAGAAACTCTGGCCAGTGTTTGGACGCTGGAAACACACATTACTGCCGCTGTCAGGCGGGCTACACTGGGAGCTACTGTCAGGAGCAGGTGGACGAGTGCTTACCTAATCCCTGCCAGAACGGCGCCACTTGTACTGATTATTTGGGAGGCTACAGTTGTGAGGTAGGAAACAAGAGAATGGAAACATAAGCAGAAATGTAGCCCAATGTTTCTGCTTTACATTCCTGTTAGTTGTTAGTCCTTAAATACTGGTGTTAAAAACAATAAAAGAAATAATGACGTTTCTTCCTACTCTTACATCAGTGTGTCCCTGGTTACCATGGAGTGAACTGCTCCAAAGAAATCAATGAATGCCAGTCTCAGCCTTGCCAGAATGGAGGCACGTGCATTGATCTCATCAACACGTACAAGTGCTCCTGTCCCAGAGGAACACAAGGTACAAACAAACATACTGTCGACATGAACCAGGCACTAACGTGATGATAAAAAAAAATGAAGGAGAGAACTTAAGATATGGATTTTCTTTCTGTCTCCAACAGGTGTCCACTGTGAGATCAATTTGGACGACTGCAACCCCTCCATTGACCCACTGACCAAAGAACCCAAGTGCTTTAACAATGGCAAGTGTGTGGACCGCATCGGTGGCTACCAGTGTGTGTGTCCCGCTGGTTACGTGGGTGAGCGCTGTGAGGGTGACGTCAACGAGTGTCTGTCAGACCCATGTGACCCCAGAGGGTCCTACAACTGTATCCAACTGACCAACAGCTACCACTGCGAGTGCCGAACGGGATACACAGGTATAAAAGGGCCCCCTAGTGGCAGAGTTTGCAAATGGCAATGTGCTAGATTTCAATAGAATGCAGTGAATGTTACGGTGTGTTTGACACCTATTGTTGCTTTTCTTCAGGTCAGCGTTGTGATAAGGTGTTCGATGGATGCAAGGGAAAACCTTGTAGAAATGGAGGAACATGTGCTGTTGCCAGTAACACACCTCATGGTTTCATCTGCAAATGTCCTCCGGTGAGTAGACAAGGGAGAACCAGTTAGAGAATTCACTCTTCAACTCTCAGCTTCTGTTCCTGTCCTCAGTCATAGCTCTGATTGTAACTGCTTTTCATTTCTGTCTGTAGGGCTTCACCGGTTCTTCCTGCGAGTACGATTCCCGCTCCTGTGGCAACCTGAACTGCAGGAATGGTGGAACATGTATGTCAGGCCATCTAGGCCCACGCTGCCTGTGTCCACCTACCTTCACCGGTCCAGAGTGTCAGATGCCCACTGACAACCTCTGCATCTCCAACCCCTGCTACAACGGAGGAACCTGCCAGATTACCTCTGAGGCACCGTTCTTCCACTGCAGCTGCCCGAGCAATTTCAACGGCCTGCTGTGTCACATCCTGGACTATTCGTTTGTCGGAGGCTTTGGTCGGGACATAACCCCGCCTCCGGAAGTGGAGGTGAGCTGTGAGATTCCTCAGTGCGATGAGTGGGCGGGCAACCACATCTGCGATTCGCTCTGCAACAACCACGCCTGTGGCTGGGACGGAGGAGACTGCTCTCTGAATTTTGACGATCCGTGGCAAAACTGCTCAGCTGCACTGCAGTGCTGGCGGTATTTCAATGACGGGAAGTGTGATGGCCAGTGCAACAGCCCAGGTTGCCTTTATGATGGCTTTGACTGCCAGGGACAAGAAGGTCAATGCAAGTGAGTACAAAAAACCAAACCTAGACTCTTTGTGTTCTTAAAAAACTCAACACAAGAACAATAAACAATAATCTCTCTGTGTCTGTTTCAGCCCCCTCTATGATCAGTACTGTAAAGATCACTACGCTGATGGCCACTGTGACCAGGGATGCAACAACGCCGAATGTGAATGGGATGGACTGGACTGTGCCAACAACATGCCAGAAAAGTTGGCCGACGGACACTTGATTCTGGTCGTTCATATTCCACCAGAACAACTCAAAAACCATTCCTCAGCCTTCCTCAGAGACCTCAGCAGTGTTCTTCATACCAATGTGGTGTTTCGCCGGGATGTCAGGGGAGAACCCATGATCTTCCCGTACTACGGCAACGAACAGGACCTTGTTAAACATAACATGCTGAAGCGCTCTGCAGACGGCTGGCCGGAATGGGCTACAATGCCAGCAAGTGTTTTGGGTCAGGTGAAGGAACGTGTGTCTTCCATGGTCAGCCCACGGAAGCGCAGAGAGCTGGATCCTGTCCAGGTCAAAGGGTGAGGATCACACCAACAGAACAGACCGCTGGACTATGAGAGATCAAATGTATGTAGCTGGATTGAAGAGCTAAAGAGTTAACAGAGCGATTCTTTTTTTAGTTCCGTGGTGTACCTGGAGATTGACAACCGTCAGTGTTACCAGCAGTCGACCGAGTGTTTCCAGAGCGCCACAGACATTCCTGGGAGCCCTGGCCTCTAGTGGAAATCTCAACGTTCCCTATATTGAAGCTGTCACAAGTATGTAACAGTTACTAATTTATTATTACCAATATGTTCATAGTTGTTAATTAATTAATAATAACACGTACAACCTAACTTGTCTTCGCAGGTGTCAGACCCACTCAGTCCAATTCAGAGCTCTACCCCATGTATGTTGTCTTCCTGGGCTTGGCGGCTTTGGGCTTCGTCTGCCTGGGCGTTCTTGTGTCTCGTAAACGGCGTCGAGAACATGGACAGCTTTGGTTTCCTGAAGGCTTCAAGGTGTCAGAACCCACCAAAAAGAAACGCAGGGAGCCACTGGGAGAGGATTCTGTTGGACTGAAGTGAGTGCAGTCACTACCTGTAATCATTCTGTGTACGATGTGAGCAAAGTATGTAATATACAATGCCATTTTTAATCTATGAATTCATCTATAAACTTTTTAAACAGGCCTATGAAAAACTCAGACATCAACCTTATGGACGACCATCAAAATGACTGGGATGACGAGGATCCAGACTGCAGGCGATTCAGGGTAAGAAGAACAAACAAGTCTCTTGTTGTCAAAATACATATCCACGCTCTTCTTAATGTTCCTTGTTAATAACTGATAATGACCTCGTGATGACTGCTTGGTCTTTCAGTTTGAGGAGCAGGCTATGCTGGATTTGAGTGACCACACTGATCAGAGGAAATGGACACAGCAGCACCTGGATGCGGCTGACCTTCGTATCCAATCCATTGCCCCCACTCCTCCTCAGGGGGAGATAGAGAACGACTGCATGGACGTTAATGTCAGAGGACCAGGTGTGTGAACCTTAATATTCTACATCTGTTATTTACTGTGAACCCTTAAACCCTAAATGGGAGTACGGTTTAATTCTCAACGTGTCTTTCAGATGGTTTCACTCCCCTAATGATCGCGTCCTGCAGCGGAGGTGGAATGGAAACTGGAAATAGTGAAGAAGAAGAAGATCCCTCTGCAGAAATCATCTCGGACTTTATTTACCAGGGCGCCAACCTTCATAACCAGACCGACCGCACAGGCGAGACAGCGCTGCACTTGGCTGCTCGCTACGCACGGTCCGACGCCGCCAAACGCCTCCTGGAGTCCAGTGCCGACGCCAACGTTCAAGATAACATGGGCCGCACTCCGCTTCATGCTGCCGTGGCTGCAGATGCTCAAGGGGTGTTCCAGGTAAATTCTAAATCTGCATGACTTTCTGATGACCTCCAGGGCCGAACACGACTAGTTTACTCTAGTTTAGTAAAGCATAAAAACAAATAAATAACAGTGCAACTCTCGTTCTTTCAGATTTTGATCAGAAACCGTGCGACCGACCTTGACGCCCGTATGCACGATGGGACAACACCACTAATTCTGGCGGCCCGATTGGCTGTTGAGGGCATGGTAGAAGAACTCATCAACTGCCACGCTGACGCTAATGCCACAGATGAATCTGGTAAATGACATATTTTTAGCACATCATCTTTACTTTTTCTCAAGATTCCCCTATTCATCCGGATTGTTTTATTCAACCCTTGAACTCTCTGGTTACAGGTAAATCTGCTCTTCACTGGGCCGCAGCTGTGAACAATGTAGAAGCTGCTGTGGTGCTACTGAAAAATGGAGCCAACAAAGACATGCAAGACAATAAGGTAGGTTAAGCAATTTAACTGTAAAGAATGTACTTAGCAAAAAATTCACCTCCATGAGAATACTGTTTATGAGCTGCACCAAAATATCAGGCATTAAACTCATTGTGGTTTCTGTTTCTAGGAGGAGACACCGCTCTTCCTTGCCGCCCGTGAGGGCAGCTATGAGACGGTCAAGGTTTTACTTGAGCACTTTGCTAATCGTGAGATCACTGACCACCTCGACCAACTGCCCAGAGATATTGCACAGGAGCGCATGCATCACGACATTGTCCGACTTCTGGACGAGTATAACGTGGTCAGGAGTCCAGGGCTTCACAGCGCCCCCATTAGCACTGCCAACTTCTCCCCCCCTCTTTGCTCTCCTAATGACTACCTTAGCAACCTGAAGCCTAACCTCTCTGGCAAGAAGGTTCGCAAGATCAGTTCTGCAGGAAAAGGGGGCAAAGATGGAGGCAAAGATAATAGGCTGAAGAAGAAAAAGTCCATGGATGGGAAAAATAACTTGTTGGACACATCAGCTGTTCTTTCTCCCGTTGATTCCCTGGAATCTCCTCATGGCTATCTATCCGATGTAGCCTCCCCACCCATGACGTCACCCTTCCAGCAGTCCTCGCCCATGTCTCTAAATCAACTACAAGGCAATGCAGATTCTCATATGGGCCAGATGACCATGGGAAAGGATATGGGTTGCATGTCATTTGACCCCAACCCACCGCGTCTCTCTCACCTGCCAGTGTCCAGCCCCAGTGGCCAGGGCGCAGCATCTTTAGGTGCCAACAGAGGGGGCCAGTGTGACTGGGTCTCCAGGATGCACCCGGGACAGCAGGGAGGCTTTACACAGGCACCTTCCATGACTCACAACATGATGGGTCCCCTGCATGGTGTCAGTACTGCCACTCTATCTCAAATCATGGGCTACCAGAATCTGCAGACCAGCCACCTCAGCTCACCTGCGCACATGATGCAACAGGGACGCTCGCGGCAGCTGCAGCACCAGAACTCCAATTCCACCACGACCGGCCAGCCGCGCAATCCCGGCTTCCCCAACATTGAGCTAAACGGCTCTGACATGCAGCAAAACATTGGCTCAGGCCGATCGATGCCAATCCACACTGTGATGCCTCAGGAGACACAGATCCTCAGCGCACAGTTTTTAACGCCCCCCTCCCAGCACAGCTACAACGGCCCCATGGACAACACACCCAACCACCAGCTTCAAGTCCCCGACCACCCATTTTTAACTCCTTCCCCTGGTTCCCCGGACCAGTGGTCCAGCTCGTCCCCACATTCCAACATGTCTGATTGGTCGGAAGGCATCTCCAGTCCGCCCACAAGTATCCACTCACAGATGAATCTGATCCCTGAACAGTTTAAATAGAGACTTCTTGAACTGTGAAAACACGATGACAAACCTGTCGCTGAAGACTGAAGACGGTCCTTTGAAAATTAGTTTTTATACTAACATTAAGGAATAAAGTTTTGGTAATTTTGTATTTATTTATATGCCTTTTTTGACAGTAAATTTAAGGAAATTGTTTTTATATTTATGCTTTACACCTTTGTTTTTTTTTTTGTTTTAATTTGTTATGTATGGAAAGATTAGAAGCTGTTTGAAGGGAGTGTGTATCAGGAAAACCACTCCTTGATGTGTACACTGGTTATTTATTTGTGTCTTTTGTTGCTAATTTCACTGGATTTATTTTTATTACAGTGTATTGTCTTCCCAGAGTTCAATATACTGCGTTGAATTTGTACATTATTTTATTTTATAGTTTATTTGACAAGAGATTCAGTATTAAGTAATTATATTTTAACCTCTTTTGTCTTTAAAACGACACAGATTTTGTTACTGAAAAAATATAAACAAGTCTTATCACTGTGTTAGATGATGATCCAATCTACTTTTATAGAATATCGTCCCCTTTACGGTGGCCTACCACGACCACCTCAAATGGCAAAATATATGAGAAAAATTCTAACTTTTTTTGGACCTTAATGCACAGAGCAGACTTCTCTTAATTAACAAGGGATTTATTTCAATATGAGTGGGAAAGACCGATGAACCGACCAGGGCCTCTTCAGTCGAATAACGTTCCTGGCCGGTTTATTTATTTGTGATCCTTTATGATGAAAGGACTGACTCGTTGCTTCATATTGCATCATGTATGAAGGATTACAGCTGTCATGTTAAACCTGTTTAGTGTTAAATTTTGCAAACTTGTTGTAGAAAGATCGAATGTTACATTTGCCATATTTCAAAATAGTGCCAGTGTGATTCAGTTTTTCTTGAGAAAAGAAAAGAAACGTATTTGTGAAAAAAAAAAGCTTTTGAAGAGAACACTGATTTTTTTTAAGTAAATAAATGGGACCTTTATGTTATAACTGACATCACCTGCACTTTATCGTAGAGTGTGGCTGAAGGTGTTTCAATGTCATGTTTTATAAACTAATCCAGAGATAACGATGTTTTAAAGAGAAGATGTAATTCAAAATCTAATGTTCATGCAAAGTTGTAGTTTGCGAAGTATTTCCTGGTTTTAATGTTTTGTAAAAAATTGTCTTGATTCAATAAATAAAACTGCTGTTAAACTTTAAAAATTCATCTGCCATAATTCCTACTCTGTTTCTTAACTACAGCCCACGATTTTACCCAGCAAGTTACTAGTGTCTGTCGCCCTCTGGTGGTAATAATATAATACTGCCATGGGACGTGGTAGTATGATATTGGAGGTAGATAACGTAGATAGCTAGATAGATAACTAGCTAGATAGCTAGCTAGATAGCTAGATAGGTAGCCCCCCCGAACTTTATTTATCCCTCGGGAGTTACCTTCGGGAAATTAAGATTACCGTAGTGTTAGTATTGTACTATTAGAAAATATAAAATACAGGTTAACTGAAAAGAATTTTTTTCCCCCTTATTTTATTTGTATATATATGTGTTTATTGTTTCTCCATTCTCTTCTGTGCCATTGGATTGATAAACTTATTTGAGCCATTTACCGTTTCTTTAAAGGGACAGTTTAGCCTCGTTATTGGTTTTAGTGGTAGTTTTTAGTGGTGTTTTGGGTTGATGACGATCAAACAAAAGACAAGAATCAATTCAATACAGTCACGGTTATCTCTTCACAACAATTGGTCCTCTTCGTAACCTCACCACTAGATGCTGCTGCACCTCTCGACAGCTCTGTGGCAGAATCAACGACACGCCAGTCCCACAGTGCCCTCTACAGGTTGATAGGAGTTGAACACCGAGGACAACGCTCGTCCCCATAGAGACAGGCTCCCACAAACAGGGCTGTCCTTCGCTGTGAGCCGATGCTGAGACCGCCGACCTTCGGGCTTCAGCGAACACGCAGAGAACCGTATTCCGGACGATTCGTTTTCATTTGTTTTTACCGCTAAACATTGTCACCAGGATTACAATCGAGCCGCCGGCGCAGCGTTATCCTAACAGGCCGGAGATTTATCCGTGTGGCCACTGCCTGATTCCGGTCAGGGAGGAGTCTGTATCCGTTATTCTCCAGCGTCAGCCGAGGCTGCAGGCCACCAGCAGCTGCAGCATGTCGGTGATTTAACAACATTCATCTCCGAGCTTTGCAGAAGAAAACCCCCCAATGAGCTCGTAGAGGTGAGTCTTTGTCCGTCTGTGTTCGCAGGTTGTCACGCACACACTAAACAGGCTGAAGACAACAGACAGAGCCGGGTCAGTGCTGCTTCATCCACCGGTCAATAATATATCCAGTTTAAACTGGACCACAGACTAAACACCCCAACAACAGCTTTTATTAATGCAGACAATCTTTAAAACGCACATAATTTGAATCAAAACAGACGAGGAGCTCCTGTTAGGTGTGCAGTTTTTCGACACTTTAGCCGAGAAGCTTCCAAGGCTGTGCTAATTAGTGTTTAGGTGTGTGTTTGTTTGGTTTTTTTACCACATTATTTGACCGTAAAATATGTTATTATATAATGTGGAACTGAAGCTACTGTTACATCACCTGTAGGTCAGTGCTAGGGAGTGGGGTACATTTGGGTTTCACTGCATCACAAACTGTATTTACCCGAATGGAGCCGGGCCTTGGTTGTTGTTCTTCCTGTGAATGAAGTGATGTGGCTAACAGTGCTGTCTCTGTGCAGGATGGATGTGGAGGTGATAGGTGCAGGCAGGGCTAGCACCTGGAGGAGAGGAGCAGAAGATGAAGAGGAGGAGGAGGATGCCGGAGGTGGTGTTGGTGGAGGAGGAGGAGGAGGAGGAGGAGGTGTGGAGGCTCAAAGTGTACCTCTGGATCTCTACGACTCTGCCCGAGCCAAAATAGAAGCGAATCTCCGTTGGCTGTTTGCCAAAGCCTACGGTATCGGTAAGGCTCTCTTCAACTTGTTGTTGTTGCCTACTACATTACCCAAATAGTATGTGTGGGTCACCTTTGAGAATAATAATAACAGCACGCTGTTAGCTTTCATGTGGCCCAGACTAAATGCAGCCTACGAAACGTCAAACATAGTTCACATCTTTCTGGAAAATATCTGGAATTCGTAGTATAACCTAACTAGAACCTAACCTGTCTCATATCTGGACCCTTTTTTTGAGTCCCTCTGGGTGACAGGTGGCAGGTCAGAGGCACAGCTTGCAACCCATATCTGAGAACCATGTTGACCGACCAAGTGCCATGATTCTCTGCCATATTTTCTGGACCAGTGTTCCTAAATGATCAAACCCTGGGACACACCCTAATTCATTTACCATCTTTTTCAGTGAAGTTCATATAACAGTGACGTTGCTCAGGGTGATAAGCTTTCAAATTATACTAATCTATTACTTTTCTTTGCTGTGTGGTTAATATCGCTTTATTGGTAGTTTTCTAAAAAAAAAAAGTTGTTTAGTTAAAATTTTATGCCGAGATACGATTTTTTTGCTGTTCAGAATATAGTTTAAATTCAACTGCTGTGACGTCACACGCCGTGTTCATGGAAGTAAACATGGCTGCTACACATGTCAGTGTGTGTTTATGAATTTGGAAGTCGATGTGCCCTCGGGGTCAGTCACAGTACGTCCCCTCTCCCCGAGGCAAGAGGCTTTGGCCCCCCATGTCCAGAGAACCAGTTGAACTTTGACGTCGATTTTATTCTTTCCACTGACTTGCTCATTTAAAGGTGTCTGCATGCTTGCATATTTTTTTGCCTCGCTGGGCCTCAGTGATATAAAAGTCAGAATGTGATACGACTGTGGTCGCTCTAAAAAAAAACATTTTTAGGACCACATACAAACTGGCCTGGGTGGAATTTGAATAATATTAGATATCGGTTTCATATTTTCCATATTGGTTTCAAAACGTTCGATTTTGTCCTTTGTGTGTTCGATTTTAGTGAAAGAGTGAGGTTTGTGTTTTCACTTTTGCCTGGACGTAGCCTTAGTGAAAGAGTGAGGTTTGTGTTTTCTGCGAAGATGGAGAAGTTTAGAGCAAAGACATTCTTCATCCAAAGATATCAACTGTTTTCTAGAGCAAAGACAGAGGCAGCGTGAACTTCATCCAAAGATATCAACTGTTTTCTCCAGCACTGTAAACCAAACCTACTGTGTGAGAAACAATGTATTAGAGCTGTGTGTTTGCAAGAATCTGGCGATACGATATGTATCACGATACCGGGGCAACAATACAATATATTGCGATACTATAGGCATATGTGGTATATTGCATATATATGCGATATATTGAGGAGATTTTTAAAACATTTTAATTGCAGGAAAACTTTCAGCATAGTGAACATACACAATACCGTTCCATGTTTAACTTCAGGTTAATAACATTGGAGCAAAGGAATCTACATTTGTATTCGTTAGAGAAGAAATCAAAAGAAAGCAGAAAAAAATGAACCTACGCCATGAATATTTGCATGTTAATAGAGCATTATTATATTGCTTAAACTGTTAAAATTTTTTAAAAAATTAACAAATCCTTAAAGAAAACAGCAGGGCCTTTCAGGGGAGATGAGTGTAGAGAGAGGGTTAGAGCAGAAAAAACCTCAGTCATCATAGTGATGCAGAATGGAACTCAGATATTTACTTCCCTGCAGTGTGTGTTGCAGGCCGTGACTCAGTGTCTCTGTGTCTGTAATAAAAGCCGAGCATGAAGCAGCAGCTGAGTGCAGAGGAACAACAATATGACGGAACCATTACCTCTGTCATCATCAACAGAACTGTAACTATCACAGGGACTTTCTGGGCTGCTCTCAAAACAAATCAGATTTTATGGAAACTCTTAAATTTGATTGGCTCCCTGTGTCATTGGTGTGCCAGGAACATTCTAGAAATATGAACAATATGTTTACTTTTTTGATCCCAGACTGGGGAAATTTTTGACATATAGATAGATAGATATGTAGATAGATGCATGCATTATGAGAAATCAAATTTAAAAAATCAGAAATAAAAAGACCTGTTGTTGATGAATGAGGTTTATTTACCATCCTAGGTTTTTTAGGAAACCTGGATGGACTGAAGAGAGTCACCGTTGTTGCTGTACATCATGAGTGTGGAGACACTGAGGTGTGGGTGATCCTGATCACACCATCGCCGCCCTACTGGGTGATAATAATAACACCGTCACTGTGATGTTGTGAAAAAGCAGATGTTAAATTTCCGTCTGTTCTTTAAACAGATCTGCGTTAATCAGCGAATCGACTAAATTAATTATGTTGTAGCTAAAGAGTGAGTGATACATTAGTTCAGCTACAGTCGGTTTTGTTTTTGTTGTCAGTGAGAGAGAGAGAGAGAGAGAGAGAGAGACAGTCAGTTATTGGATTAGAGGAGCAAACCAAACTCACTGATGTGAAACACAGTTGTGCGAGAAGGGCCGTGTTGTCTGTCAGCACTGGGGTGAAAGGTCAGCCTGGCCGGTCACATGGTTAAGTGTGTAATGAGATTGGATCTGAAGACTTGTGTCTTAATTTAACATGAGGTTAAGGTTAGAGCAAAGAACTGCTTTCTAAATCCAGACTTCACAGCAATGGAATAAACAAACAGGGTTGTCCTGCCTTTCTATTCCACTCCAACTCCGACTAATTTGATTTGTTATTAATGTGATTATTACCATTTTAGACTATTTGTTGTAGT